CTTTTTTGTGTGCATAGAGTCTATTGGTTTGTATAGCCTATGAATGGCAATTGTTTGGCCTTAGTGGCATTATTGAACCTTAGTGATGAATTGTGCCCAGATGGCAAATATAGCCTAAATGGGCTAAGCTGTGGCCTTAGGGGCAAATAAGTATGAATATGTGAAAGTAATGTGTGTGATGGTTTTTTTTATTGTTATCTGTTGACACTTATAAGTTTAAATACTAGTGCATGAAGTATGTTTTTGTTATTTTCTATAAACTGAAAATGTACATTCATTGAGCGTGTTGTATTCATCCCTCCCCCTTCCCCCCCCCCCTAAAATCAATAGTGGTTTTCAGGGAATTGGAGAAGGTTGAAGTCCATTGCTAAGTCCTAGAGAGTCTAGGAGATTATAGTTGAGACATGTTGTCAAAATTTGTTAACATTTGATCATGTATTTGTATTGTTATTAGATTTCAAGTTAAAGTATGTTGATTAAGGGTTGAACAAGGTTTTAATGTAGATGTATGAAGTTTAACTTTGTGTTAATGGGCTATGTGAGTATATGTGAGTATGTCGGTTATTGGTAAACGGGGTCCACCCTCATGGAACATACTATATGTGTACTATATTTGGGGTAGGGTGTGACATAGACTACTTCGACAAGTTGGTTGGTTGTGTTATTGGTTTGCGATCACCTCTTATGACTTTTCCCAATTGTATGTATAGGTGGTAACCCTAATTGTCAAGGTCACCTCGCCTGTTTCTAGGAACTTTTCTCTATCACAGCTATAAGCATCCCCTCAGCTGTCTGTAATCAACACTCCATTAGCGTCACATTCAACTATGCCTCTACACCCTTCGGAGATACAAGAAGATCTTTTGGGGTAGTCGTTGAATACCTAGGACTCTCTCTTTGACCCTTAGTTGGTCTAGTTACACCATGTGTCTTTACTAGTGTTTTCATATTAATATGATAAGGCTAGTGTTTTTTTTTTTGTATTATATAATAGTATATTTCGATGAGAAACATGAACACTCATTAAAACAATTCAAATGAATGACCAAACCCGATAATAATTACTTCAACAAATAACATCAACTCAATTGTAATGGGGATTATAACATCATCAAAAAAGATATAAGATATATTCAACATTCGTATAAGAATAACATTTCCTGCTATAAAAAAACAAAATATATCTTTGAATTTGAAAGCAGTATCATACCTTAAAAGCACTATGTCACCATCAAGGGAACTATTACAAATATTCTTGCATTAACCCACTATTCCCAATCTTTCTTGGATCAGTTTCTTAATTACCATAATTTTTTGAGTACCACAAATTCTAACTTAATATTTAATTTATTATTGCTCATCTAAAAAAGCAAGTTTAACTTACACTTTTGAATGAAAAAACTTAGGATCCGTTTGGTTATGGTTCAGTTTTCAATTTTTTTGTTTTTGTTTTCAATTTTTTAGAAAACCTGAAATTTAAACTCGTTTGGTGACCATTTTAGTTTTTTTTAACTAAAAACGTTTTCAAATCTACCTCAGATTTTGGAAACGAAAAAAAGTCTTTTTCCAAAAAAGAAAAAAAAGGAAACGGGCGGAAGCCATTTAATAAGATCGTACCATCAAGTCTTGTTAGCAACAAACCAAGCAAAAATATTAAACCCTTAAACTCTCTCTCATCTCTCTCATTCCCTTCGTCCAGCAGAGAAGCGTTCTAGTAGTTCAGACGTCCAACAGGTTCATTCCAACAACTCAGAGACGTCCAACAGCAGCTTCGTCTCTCTTGTTTGAAGCTCTCTCAACAAGGTAAGTCCTTAGATTTAGGCTTTTTAGAAATTTTTTTCCTGTTTTGGATATCTCTCGATCTCTCTCAGTAGCTATATTTCTTTGCATTAGACCTACATGATGTTTCTTTGTGTTAGATATGATTTTTCTAATTTTTTTTAAAAAATTTATTAGATCTGGCTTTTGTTTTAGATCTTCTATGTGTTAGACTTTATTATGTATTAGATCCATTCACATATTTTTTTGTATTAGATCTGATTTTGTTTTGTTCACAAGCCCATCTTCCATCTACATTTTTTGTGTTACATCTGATTTGCTTAGGTTGTACATTGGGAAGTAGCAGATTGGGACATTTTCAATGATCTGATCATATTTGTTACTCTATTTTGTTTTAATCCATGATTTTCCCTTTGAATTTAATGTACATGCACTAAAAATATTTGATTTCATCAATTTTTTTCATACATATGATGTTACTAGAATGTGTGGTTGTAGATGGTAAAAACCAATGTAAGCAATGTAGGTAATGACGATGTGGTTGAGGTTTAATCCACCAAATCTAATATCCCATGACCTGCTAAGAGTGAGGCAATTTTTATAGATTTAATAGATAAGCAAGTTGCAAAAGAAAATAGATCAACTACTACATTCAAAAGAGAAGCATGTAACTACATTCTTGAGGAATTGAAAAGGCGACCTAGGTATTCATATAACCATAAGCAACTTAAGAATAAGTTTAACACTTTGAGGCGAGTAAGAGGTGATTTCCACAAACTAGTTAATGAGACCAATGGATTTGGTTGGGATCTAGAGAAAGGGACACTGACTCTGCTAGATGATGTGTGAAAAAAATTGTTTAAGGTATAAATTTTTATTGTGTTAGGTGACACTATTTCCACATACTTTCATTGTGTCTTGAAAGCAATTTGTCGACTTGGAGTGCACATTATCAAACCTCCTGATTTCAATATTATTCCACCTCAGATTCGACACAATCCTAATTACTATCCATTCTTCAAAGTAATGTATATTTTATTTCTTATTATTTGTTATACACATCATTATGCATATTAACATTTAATTATGTTTTAGAATTGTGTCGATGCTATAGATGAAACTCATGTTGAAGCATGTATACAGGTGAGTAAGCAAATCCCATACTGTGGTAAGAAAGTTGAACTAACACAAAACGTTATGTGTGCATGTTCGTTAGACATGCGATTCACATTTGTTATGAGTGGTTGGGAAGGAACTGCTAATGACTCGAGAGTATTTATTGAGTCCATTAACAATCCAGAAAATAATTTCCCAATGTCTGAAAGGGGTAATATTCTTCATTGTAACTTTTCTTTCCATTCGTAGAATTTACAAGTGTACCATTTGACATATAAGTATTATATTGTAGATGCTGGATATACGAACATGTCTGGGTTTTTGTCACTGTATCGTGGTGAGAGATATCATTTACGTGACTATAGAGGTAGTGGCCGACGTCCAAAGAGTAAGATAGAACTATTTAATTACCATCACTCATCACTTCGGTATGTTATTGAGCGTTCCTTGGGAGTGCTAAAAGATCGGTTTCCCATTCTCAAACAAATATCCCCTTACCCTATAAGAACACAAAAATACATTCCATTGTATAGTCTACAATTTCATTGGAATGCACGCTGATGAGTTCAGTAATGAAAAAAAGGTGGATGATAATGCAGGATCAACTTCACATAACCTAATTGAAGTAGCTATCAGTCAAACTCAGTTTTGTCAAATGGCTTGTGTGCGAGATTGCATTGCCAATGAGTTATGGGCAAGTGTTGGACATTGAGACATATGGTTTTTGGTGTATATGGATTATTATCTCTAATTATTATCAATGAGTTGATGTTTATATAGATTATTATCTTGGATGTTTATAAATTATGAGATATATTTTTAGTATGGATGTTTTATGGATTATGTTATGTTTTAGTGTGTTATCATTATATTATGTTATTTTTACAATTAAACTAATATGAAAGTGTATGGTGTAAATAAGTTGTTCATAAAATAATTTAAAAATGTTTATCAAACGAGTTTTCTATTTTTGTTTTTATTTTTTTTTATATCAAAAAATACTACCAAACCAATTTTCTATTATTATTTTTTAAACCTAAAACTGACAAAGTTTCCAAAGCCAACAGTAGTTTTTAATTTATTTTTGTGCACATGAAAAAGTGAGCTTAACTTACGCTTTTCAATGAAAAAGGATACTTCCAGAATGTACTTTCAGTACAAAACCTTCAAACGGGTGGGTCAACCCCACATTTTTTTCGTTACAAATATGGGCCAAACTCAATAGCCCTCTCCCCCCCGGGGCAGCCCACGCCAAGCACGTCTCTCAATGCCCGTGGGCCCGTCACATAAAAACGACAACTACGTACACCCTAAACGACAACCCTATATTTTTCGCAGCATTAAAGATAATCCTTTCTTTTGGCTAAGTCACATCCACCTGTCTTCCCCTTATTTGTCCGCCTCAGATCTCCCCTACCCATTAGGCAGTTTGTCAGCTAGAAACCAAAAGACAAGAATAAACTACACTACACAACCATCAATTCTGAAAAAATTATAAGAAATGAGCTGATATTTGAAAATTCACACAATATCTTAGTGAATAGTAACAGAGGCATTCACTTGGTATTGATACCAACTCCATTACCTTACTGTTTCCATAAGGTTCTCATAAAAAACTAAGCTACACATTCCACCATCATCCTATTCTTGTTGATTTTTTAGCCTTTTTATTTAATCATGTAAGGATAAATTTGTTATTTCATAATGACTCCGGCTTAACATTCTAAAACTTCATAAAAAATCAAGTCTCAACAACCAGCAAGATTAGCTCAATAAAAGACTTGTTCAAGTTCAACAGGGTAAAGATTTATCTAAGATTGAATCAAGATAAATGATCAAATTAAAATTGAATAACCCACCACCTGGTTTGTAAATTCAAGTGAGACCCAATGGGGGTGTTTGGTATGGTTGATGTGGAGCCCATTTATCCTTGATTTGGTAAGGAAATTTAAGGTTGGACAATTGTAGCCTTTGAAACATTCGGCCATAGTATTTGGACTCTTTTATCCCTTCTCAAGCGGATACACAAATCCCACCAAAATTTTGGAATTATGCAAATGACGACCGGATTAAGGGAGGATTTTATCATTAAACCATGCCCCAGAATGGCGCAAACTCCACCATTGGCAAGGGCAACATATGTTTCCTCTCTCTCTATATCTCTCGCCCTCTCTCTCTCCCCTAAACTCAGCCATGGCAATCTATCTGCCCTCACCATTGACGATTCTATCATCGCTCACCCAAATATCTACCTAAACTCAGCCATGGAGGTCCACGGTATTGGCGCCATTCTTGATTACACTATCAATGGTGGTGACTTCTTCGCACCACCGGTGGTTGTGCCATTTTTTCCGACCGGGAAAATCATAGGTAGCCGGAGGTCTGATGTAGCATGCATGTGCACTGAGTTTCTAATGATTTTCTCGATTGTTTGTGCTGTTTTTGCATTCAAGATTCTTAGAAACCCTCTTGCTCGTTGATGGGTTTGTTCACAAATCAATGATTGTGGCTGTTTTTGTTCTGCAAAGGTAGTCTAAGCACCATTAGATGAAAGGAAAGATGAGTATGGGGTTTTTTTTTGTTATTGGGTTGGGTCATTGTTAACAGTACCGGCTATTCTTCTTGAATATGGGGCTATTTTGTTTTTATTTTCTGCATTAGTCTGTGATTTTAGAATGCAAAAAATTTCTATGGTCTGTAAAATCCTCTATTTCATCGATATATCTGAATTAGCTTCTTCTTGTATTCGTGTTTCAGTGAAGTTTATTATTTTGTATGAAATGACAAAGAAAGAAAATGCTAAACGGATCAATTTTGATCTCAATAAAATGGATATTTATTTTCAGTTCTATTCCACAACTGATGGCTCTTATGATGACTATAGTTTTGCTTGTGCCTCTGATTTTGAGATTGGCGAATCTAGGAAGGTTTCATTGGTGGCCGAATCTGATTGTTCGATGGATGTCGAAAATGAGGTGGGTGAAATTAAAGTGCATTTGGGGAAATCAGAGAGAGATTGTCAAATCTGTCATCTGAGTTTGGAGAGTACTGGTCCTGAGTCTGGGATTGCCATTGAATTGGGTTGTTCTTATAAGGATGACTTAGCAGCAGCTCATAAGCATTGTGCTGATACTTGGTTCAAGATTAAGGGAAACAAGTGAGTAAAACAAAATCCCAATTTTTTCATGTTGTTTTCTCTAATGACTTGAAAGTTTTGGGTGAAGTTTAGTGTATTGTGGTAAGTTTTAGATGCCCATTTGGTAACTCCCAGCATTATAGACACAACACACACACATACCTGTATATTCCCATTGACACATAGTTGCATGTTATTAATTGTAGGAAGATGTTTTTGCTTCACAATACTGTCTTGCACCATGTCTCGAATTTTGAATTTTGAATTTTGAAACACAATAGCGTGTGTGCATATAGCTTCAATGTAATATGTTTTGTGTATGATTGTCTTCGTTTTGTATGTATACTTCAAGACAACATGTGATTTGACCATATCGATACGTGTACTTACGTAATGTGAAATATGTTTATGTGACATCGAATCGTTTATTTCGTTGTTCTTAATTTTTTTTCCAAAACAATGTGGAACAATGTTACGAGGAAATTAATGTGCTCTCACTTGTGTACTTTTGAAAAAATGAAAATCGAATTATTTTCGATATTTTCTCTTGGTGACCCAACTGTTATATTTTTTGTGAAATATAAAAGTGGACAACATAAAAAAAATTTCATAGCCAATATTGACTTTGGCTTGGATAGGATTAAAGGGTAAAATTATAAATTCATGTGAAAGTAAAGAGATTTGATCCAAAAAAACAATGGTTTGTCCGCTGACCTCATAATATAAGAAATTATTTTTCAAATGAGGGATATGATTACACCACTTCATTGATATCCTAGTTATTGGGTTTTTATTGGATTGGTTTGGATTTTTAATCCAAACCAATCTTATCCCCAAAGCTTTGCCAAACACCCTCGGTACGTTTAAATGAATCTATAGCTTCTTAATGGTAGAGGATATATCAAGACAGAAAATAAAATAAAAGAGTGTTAGAAAGAATTGGAACCGATTGTTGTGCTATATGATCAAAATTTAGGGATGTAACAGTCATTTAATCTTTAAGTTTACTTTAAAGTAATTCATACTATGAAGAAACGAGAAAACTCTCACCACTAGTACTCAATCTTACAGAGACAGAGGGAGAGAGTGGAAAAACAATGGTCGGAGAGAGTTGGAGTCTGACGGCAAAGTTGTGCGACTCATGCAAAACGGCGCCGGCAAACCTGTTTTGCCGTGCTGACTCGGCTTTTCTATGCATGGGGTGTGACTCAAAAATCC